AGGATGACTTTAACTTATTCACTATAGACCATAATTGATGCATGAACTATGCCCCCATTCTGCCGACAAGGAATGTATCATCTAGTGCTGAGTTAGGTGACTTTCCACTTTAAGTGAGATTTATTTTTAGAAGGTGCTCCTGGGATGTATGTATAAAACATGCATTAAAGGATACAACAACAACAACAACATCAAGCCTTTATCCCACTACGTGGGGTCGGCTACATGAATCCTTTTTCTCCATTGTGTCCTATTAAAAGTCAAATTCTCGTTTAAATCTAATAAAGAAAGGTCATTAAAGGATAAATTAATAAAATGATAGCTCCACTCATGTTCAGGCTCTTAATGTTAAGTTATATATTATGATTCATTACTGTGTGTAACTATAATTGCTAAGTAATATTTATGATCATAATTGTAATTAAAATAATCTTTAATAGCCACTAAAATAGGAGGAAGCTACAGAACCTACAAGGAGAAGCCGCACCCATAAGAAATTATAAATTGCAGCAGCTAAGGAAACTGCCGAAGGCTAGTGCAGTCCCAAGAAAAATATCAGAGTAGAACCTTGTTAAACTTATTCCCCAATCGGATGGATGGATTGATGCATGCCCCATGTCCATTGCAAAATTACCTAATCATGGTTATTATATTAATAAAATAAAGTTCTAAGAAGATAGCTTTGTAAGACGATTGTTTGTGTAGTCTGCAGCTAATACGTAAGAATTGCATTCAGGTGTAGGTGATTTGTAAGATAATCTGAAACTGCGTGAAAACATGAGAAAGTTCCATTTGCATTGCTAAGAGCAAGGGCTAACAATTCCCAGGATCTTGGTTAGAACCTCCAAATATTGGTCCAACTGCTGAATTACTGCCACTGTCTAATTGACTTTGGAACTTCTAATAAGACTATCATGAAGAAAAGCAAGACTGCTTTTGTTTGTCCCAACTAGTATGACTGCTAGAAAATGATAATGAGAGTTTATGAAGTAATTATGATAATGTGAGGAGAATTAAAACAATGGGCAAAATACACTTGCACATAACAATTTTTAATTTTACGTGGTGAAATGAAACATATCAAGCTAACAATATCAACTTTAACAGAACATGAATCAATAGAAACATATAGAAATCACCATTTTTACCATCAAAACATGGACAGCTATAAATAATAACTAAAAAAGTCAAATGATGTTTTATATTTTTAAATAGCTGCTTCCTGATACCATGTCATGTATAGATAGGTTTATGCAAGTTTGACAACTTAATCAAACCCTCAAGTTAAGCCAGAAATGAAGGAAAACTATAATTCCGGAGAAAGGAATACATTCCATTCAAGCCATGGTTTAAAAAATCATTCAGCGCACATGCCTCGAGACATGCCTCAAATTAAGGCGCATAAGAAGCACCTCAATATTTTTAAGCCTCACGGTCATCAGTAAGGCTTTAGCCTAAGTGTACAACTCAAGGAATTTTGAGGAAGCGCATCTATTAGATTAAATTTTAATAAAAAAAAATTATTATATATTATTATAAACAATATATAAGCTATTCTATTATATACTCTATCAAATTGAGACCGACTTTTACTACACAGATATTAAAAAAAATAGAATAAAAAATGGGAATGGAGTTCCAAAAATAAATAAAAAATTAATTTGAGTATAATTGATCACTTAGTTGCATGGTTTAAAATTGTGCAATATGAGGCTCGCCTTGAGGCCCGCCTTTGCGCAATTCCAGTAAAAAACACCTCGATGCTTACGCCTTGAGTTTTTTTTATGAGGCTTGCGCATCAACTTGGTTGAGGCCCGCCTCGCCTCACTGGCATGAGGCTTACACCTCACGCTATATATACTAAAACTTACATAAATCTTGAAGTAAATGTCCGACATTCGACTCTATAGGAAAGGAGGAAGGGAAGAGAGCAGTTCACCATAATGATGATTCAAATGAAGAACCCCTTAGTGATGACCGTGCTGATGACTTATGAGTTCTTATGTGATATGTCATTGCTATTTATTTTTGAAAATTGGAATTATATGTTAATGTTAATGAAAAGAATACTGGGATTTGGGAAAGATAGAATTTTGAGTTGAACTACATTTCATGTTGTCTTATTATTGAGATATTTTGATTTCACTTTATATCTTATGTTTTTTTTATGTTTTATATTATTCACTGATTAGTATAAAAAATTTATCATTTTATGTTTACGCAATTTTTTTATTTTGAGGCTTATGCCTCAAAATGCATTGAGGCTTACGCCTCGCCTCACGAATGAAAAACGCCTCAATACTCGAATACGCAATTTTAAACATTGCTTAGTTGTGCAATATTAACATTCAAATGTGGTAAGAAAAAAATGTTGTAATTGAAGAAGCTTTTTAAGATGACAATAAGACAGTTGGAGGATGATAAAAATATTGCTTGCGTGGACTCTTTTAAAGAATATGAAAGTGAGGTTCAGGCCAGTGTGGATCTTGATCCTCATGGCATATTTAATTTCTAAGAGACTACTTGATGCAGCACAAAGAAAAATGTAAATGACGAGATCACAAATAAATGCCAATCATCAAAATTTGGGTCAATCATCATGCAAAACTTTCCATACAAGCCCATGAATGTCCCATATTATTATTATTATTATTATTATTATTTTTTAGTATTAGAACATGTTATCAATTCATATAATAATATTTTATTGACTCTTAAGACTTTCCAAAATTGTCTAGGATTGGAAAAAGCTTATAAATAGAACCATGCTTTGTACTTCTGATACATTGAATAAAAATTATTTTTTGTTTGTGAAAATTTCGGGAGAAAAGGCTTGGTGGTTGTTCTACTCATTGGTGAAACTTGGTGGTAGAATCCTCTAGGACTTTGATGAGTCTTTAGTTATCACTTTTTACCATTTTTCCTACTCTTTCCCGATACAATTTTCATCTCCTCTACTTTGCCTATAACTTAGCATCTCTTAACCCCCAAACATATCCAAACTCTCCAAAAGTTTCCTAAATAGCTCCACACATCTCTCATAACCTTCAAAGGCCTCAACTCCCTAAAATCCTAATATACCATAGTCAAAGTTCCAATATAGAGAGGCAAGTTCCTGCGGTGAGAAACCAAGTTAAAAATTTCATAATTTCTCAACCACTGATCCAAAATTCATAAAAACACCACCATTAGTTTCCTAGTATCCCAAACCTTTAATCTATTGTTTCTCATTATTTTTCTCCAAGGAAAACCCATCTTTTTGGATTTTAGAAGTTTCAAACTTGACTCTATCCAAAAACCTAAATTCAAGCTTCACCACCACTCAAATAATCATTCCATCACCATCCTAAGTAACACTAATCAAATTGATGTCTTCACCATACAGCTCTTATTTATACTACATCGCTACTTATTTTGAATCTTATTGAAAACATTCATGTTATAATAACATTTAATATTGAAATTTATAGTTTCTATGATGAAAAAGCATATGATAAAGTTCCAAGAGAAGTGCTATGGAGAGTTCTTGATAAGAAAGGAGTCAATAATGCTTATATTCAAATCATTAAAGATATGTATGCAGGAGCTATTACTTGTGTTCTGTTGTTGTTGTATAGTTTCTATGATGAAACAATTAAATATATTGATGTTTTATTTTATATTTCAGCATTTTTATGAATTATTTCTAATTTTATGAGCTTTTTATTTTTTTTGTTAAGGGCGGCATACACCTCAACTCGCTATGGAAAAAAGCCTCGATTCCATATTTTGTCTTTTTAAACCTTGATTCAGATAATATTTATATCTGTACAGCTCCTGCACACGTGGTCTGATAAAAAAGGAATCATTTTTGGAGATATGTTTTGCTAGAAACTTAGGCTTTTAAATCCACACGTCTGCTAAGATCAGCAATAAAGAAGATATCACTCAGAAAGTTTCTGCATAATACCTACAAATACCTAATCTCAAAGTTAATGTGATAACTTGCTTCTAGAAATTGTTTTCAAAATTACAACCTCTTCAGATCAATGCCATTACATATGATCTGGAAAAATGGAGATGGAATGGGTTACAGCGCCAGATTGCTAATTAAGTTTGCACAAGATTAAATCATATAAAGGGATGGACTAGTCATCATCTCTAACCTACTCCTTTGCAATATGGCAATTATATATGCCGAACTTCAATACTGACCTAAACCAACCTGGACAGCCAAAAGAAATTGTCCTTCAATATCAGCCTTTCGATAACCCTATTAGGAGATTAAATATATTAGATTTAGCATATGTTTAAAAAGATAGAGGTAGAACTAAAAAGACTTGATTAGAAAGAATTAAAAATGATATTTTTTAGTAGATTAAATGAAAATTTAACTCTTAATTAGGAAAAAATAGAGAAAAACGATTCATTTATCCGACCCCACATAGTAGGATAAAGGTTTGTTATTGTTGTTGTATCATCTAATGTGAATCCGTAATTCCCTAATAAACACATTGACAGCAAGAAAAACATATAGTATGAAAGAAAATGAAGAAAGATCATCAGCAGCATCATTAGTGTTATCTCAACTATTATGAGCTAACTTTTAGGATCATGTCCGTCATTCACACTGAATGCTATATTAGTTGTTAGCTCTATGGTCCAAGTCCTTTCACATGACTTTTATGCAATTTTACCTTTAATATGCCTTTTGTTTACCTACTCCTTTCAGATTAAACAAAGAAAAATAAATATAGTAAAAATTAGCTTAAAACTATTACTAGCTTTTTTGTTAGAAGAATTAAGTTCCCGCATAGATTCCTAGAACTGCAATGCTACGGCACATCACATTCCCAAAAATCAGACTTCAATAACCCAAGGAATTAACTTTAAGGTAGATCTACTAATAATCCATAAGGACAGAAAATCAATTAATGTTGTATTCAAGTAAATTCCAAATTCGTTATCTTTAACGAAGGAAGAAAGGTTGAACAAAAGAAAAGAATGACGAAAGAACATACTGTGGAATGAAGGAAGCCTGTAAACTCTGTCTGTCATTTCCACAGCAATTCCTTCTGAAGCACGAAACATCCCTGCCCTTGAAAACTTTGTGATTCCTTGTCCAATGTACATACCATTCCTTTCAAGGTATTGAGGATCTATCATTTTTCCAGCACCAAAGAACAAAAGGTCATAATAATAAAAAAAAAGAAGGCAACATTAGCTAAATAATTTTTTCATCACTATAGAAATTTGACAGCCGAAGTTAATGTCGTCAAGGGAAATAGCTACATTTCTAGAAATCTAAGCATGATATAACAAAGGTCATTTCAAATTTCAACTTATCAAAGGCAGTTACTATACAAATAAGGACCAAAAAAGTCCCTCATCTATTTGCAGGGGGTCATTTTAATCTCCAGTTATATAATTTTTTTTAATTTAGTCTCTTGACTCTTTAAATATGAGCCAAAATAGCCCCGCAATCGAAAGTATGGAAATTAAAATTAATGTTAAAATTAATTGATAGGATTAAAAATAAAATTATTCTAGAAAAATACAACTTAAAACTTTTACAAAATTTAATTTCCAACATACTTTATTTCATCATTTACAAAAGCCAACTTCACGTCATAGGAGTGGATTGAGAATATACAAGTTATAGCGTGAGATGATTTTTTGTAATAAATAAATTTTCTATACAATCTATAATCTTAATTCCATTATAACAAAATACATTGAGTTTTTATCTTTTTATTAAAATTTTAATGTTTTAATACTACAAAATTAAACTCAATATATTTTGTTGCAATGAAATTAAGATAAAAAAATATATCAAACAATATTATTTATAACAAAAACATCATCTCACTCTACACCCTAAATGATCTATGATCTCAGTCAACTCCTACTATAGTACAAGCAATCAACTATTGTACAAGAGGAAACAAAGTAAGAAATTAATTTTTTATGAAAATTTCAAGAAGAAAATTTATATTCCTGAAATACCCTCATTTTTAACTACAATTAACTTTGACTTTGATTTTCATCACTTACCTACATAACTATTTTGGCTCGTATTTAAAGAGTGCAAAGACTAACTCGGACGTTTTATAAAGTCTAGCACTAAAATAGCATTCCATAAATAGTCGGGGGTCCATGGTGGTCCTTTCTCATATACAAATGGTATAATTCACATTTCTCAAGGGTTGTTTACCTGCCTCTGATCCTTGTAGAACAGTTCCACGTGTCAGACCAACACCCCATCCACCATCAGCACTTGGCTGCTCTACAGCCACTGAAACTGCAACAATATCTCCCTTTTCGACATGTGAACTACAAGCCAATAACCCTGGCACAAATATCTACATGCCAAAACATCAAAATTATCAAGAAACTATCAGCACCAAAGAGAAAATATAAATGAGCATTAAGTTCCTATGAAGGTATGCATTATGTATTTGTTACAGATTCATGGGAATGAAGGCACCTAAAATTATCCAAACCATACTGTGAAATGTACACTAAAGAAAGATGGTGATAATTCATAACCCTAGATGAAAAGGGTGATAATTCATAACCCTAGATAAAAAAGAAAAGCCCCCAAAAGGATGGTGATAATTCATAACTCCAGATGAAAAAGGAAAAACCCCAAATCATGCCTGGCCCCAAACCCTTCACAATAAGAACTTTCAGCACTAGTACCCATTTGGAGTTGCTACTTTGGATCTGTGACATTGGCTGTCTGTTGATGGAGGCTTTCAGAGATTTGTAAAATTTCACTATTCTTTGGTGTGTGGTGGCTCTGATCTTCGGTTCCACCTCCAAAGTGAATTTATTGCTTGTCGTTTTCTTTCCAAAGTTAGGAGTTTAAGTGACAGATCTCAACTTTCACATGAGCTCAATCTTGAATTAAGAAGTTAGATGATCTTCATAATGCTAAGGCAGATTAGAAATCTCCTCCAATCATCTTGATGAGGAGGATTAGAAATTTTAAGAATAGTATTTCGTGAGCTTGACCAGGAACTGCTTAGTTTTTCTTTATGACTAACGGTAATCGTTTTATTTATTATTTTTTGCTTGGGTTATCCCATCTTGTATTAGTTTTCCTTAAGTAATAATATTGGTAGGAGTCCATGCATCACACCCCGCCTTCATGGGTGAGTTCGTTTAAGAAAAAAAAAACTTCGCAATAAGGACATATTATCATTATAGCACCTCAAGGTGTCCCGCGGAATCACAGCACCACAACCTAAGCCAATTATGGTGAGAAGGAAAGAAGGGTGTGCTAAAACATCAACATTCTCCATGCCTTGACCCAATTGTGGTGAAAAATAGTGTGAACCTGGTGTGGATATTTGTCTAATAAGATAATTTTAAATCAACTTTTAGTTGACAAAGGGTTTTAAATGCTATCAAGTGGATCATATAATTCACAACTCTAGATGTTGGAGCGATTGGGCTACATCTAAGTTTTAGTCGTTGACATAATATAATGGTGTCATTTTATGACGAAAGCACATGATCAAAGGCCCCCGATCATAACCATAATGTGGTGTCATTTGATAACAAAACCATCAATTAGAGGACATGTATTACATCCTTACTAGCATGAGATTTTTTTTAAAGTCACTATAATGATATGCTCGGCAACACATTGGCTCTTTATGAGCAAAGATTAAACTAAAATTTGTCAACCCCATCAACCTGGTATAGAGAATGGATAATTTTTATTGCTTAAAGCTTAAGGTGGTAAATTTTGTTCAAATTTATTTGTATATTATGTAATATTTTTATAGTTTCACATATTTGTAGAAATTTGGCTCGAAATAAGTAGCATAGAGATTATGGAGCATTTTGAAAATAAAACCCCCTCAGGTTGAAATTCTTAGCCAATACGACCATCATCGAGATGTTATGCATACACCTAATCGCTTTGAATCTAGGCAAATTTTCCTTCTTACTTATAGAGGATTGGTTTCAAAGATTAACTAAACAAGTTACCATATAGGCAATGTAACTCCAAGAATTTGAGTTTTAAAATGAATTTCTTCATAAGGGGCTTTGAAGGACTAATGGGAATATAAAATAAAATATTTTTATGAACTTTGGAGTTGTACAACAACAATAATAACATCAACCCTTTATCCTACTACGCGCATGAAACCTTTTTCTCCATTGTGTCCTATTAAAATTCTCATTTAAATCTAATAGAAAAGGTTATTTCTAATATTTTTAACCAAGTTGTTTTAGGTCTATATCTATCTTTCTTAACATACGCCAAATCTAATACAGACTCTCCAAACAAAGTCATCAAAAAGTTAATGTTTTATGTGACTAAACCATCTAAGGCAACTCTCTTTAATCTTATCTGCCACTAGAGCTACTCCAATCATTTCATGTATATACTCATTTCACATTCTAACTCTTAGAGTAATGCCACTCATCCACTTAAGCATCCTCATCTCTACAACACTTATCTTAATTTATGCTTTTCTTTTAATTGCCAACATTCTGTGCCATAAAGCATTGCAGATCTCACCACCATCTTATAGAATTTTCGCTTAAGTTTGAAGGATTCTTTTCTATCACACAACAGGCTCGATGCATTCCTCCACTTCAATCATCCAATTTGAATTCTACTTATAATATCCACATCTATTTCACCATCACTTTGAAAAATTGACCCAAGATATAAAAAATGTGTACTCTTATTAATGACTTAGATCACCCAAAGTCACAATCCCCCAATAGAACTATTACTACTAAATTTATACTCCATATATTATATTTTAGATCTGCTAAAACGAAAACCTTTAGACTTTGACCTCCATAATTCAAATTTTCCTCCAACTCCCTCTCAAGTCTTATCAATAAGAAGAATATCATTAATAAAAAGCATACACTATGGTACAATATACCCTACCAGGGTTTTATTTTTGTTAGCTTTTAAATATATTCAATTAGTTAGGTGTTTTATTTATTATATTTTATTTTGTGCTTAAGGGCTTGCAAACCAAGGGCCCACCACAGCTACAAGGTGCAACGTCCAACAAAACTCCTCCAACAAATGTCACCAAATCATCCAACAAACACCTCCAATAGCTTAAGAAGAAAGATACAAGTGGAGTGGAACTTGCGGAGAGAAGAAAAGGTCAGAAGCCCAAGACAAAATAGTGGGGAGGAAGAGAGAAATTGAACAAGCTCTCAAGCTTTTTCAAAGAAGAAGAAACCCTCAGGTTTTTGTAGAGACTATGCTCAAATATTCAACAACCTTCTATGATTCAAAACAACTCTAATTTATAAGAGAAAATGGGGCAGCCAAACAGCCATTCCACCTCCAACCAAACCAATCAACTAAGTGGAACTAGAAGGCCGGCAATTAATCCATAAACAGCACCCGAACAACCACTCAGGAGACCAGGAAAAGCAGCCACGGGAAAGGAGCGGACGGCCAGGAAATTCATGAAAGGCAGCTAGGGAACGGAACAGCAGCCAGGGGAACCGGAACAGGCCACGGGAAGAACCAGTAGGGGAAAAACCAAAGGGCCACAAGCAAGAATCCACTCCACATAATGAGCTAACAAGAAGAATAACTTTTCATAATAATGAGCTAAACATCAACTCAAGCATTTATGAGCTAGAACAAGCAGCTCACCAAAATAAACATAGCCCAAAACCGAGCAGCCAAGCTCCACCTAAGAAGCACCCAGCAGCCCAAAGACCAAAGAACCCAAATAGCTAGCACACCCAAGGTTTGCCTTGCCCAAGCACTACCTACTCATGATCATTGGATGGCATAAAAAATAAAAAAACTATAGCAGTCAAATTACAATAAAAAAAAAATTGAAATAGACTGAAATTTGCATGCATCAAAAAGGATTCATATAGCCAACCCCACAGTAGGATAAATGCTTGATATTGTTGTTGTTGTTCTACTTTGTGCATGATTCTTTTAATTCTTCGAGGCAAATATTTGAGTATTCAATCTCTTTAGATTCAATATATTGAGCAAGCCAATCAAAATTCTCACTTTGGTACACCTCAAACTTGTAGAATAGGCTCCTCAGGAAGCGAAGCTACACAGAATGATTTTAGTTCTTCAATGTTATGGGTCTTGCAAAGAGTTACCTCTTTAAAATATTGAGGGACAAGTGTGATTATGAATGTATTTTCTAATATTCACGAAATCTACCACTTTCTATAAGGAAAAAAAATTTCTGCTTAGATGAAGTATTAGCTGGTTTAGGAAGAAACGACTACATGTTGCTTTTTATCATCCTCCTTTCCAGGTTGTTTTGTGATTTTTGAGGTTAATGCCATAACTTTAAGAGGTTACATTAATTTTGGTTCTTTTGAAATGAAATATCTGACATTCTAACAAAGTTGTATTTCATGCACTTTAAGGAGTCATATGTTGCCAGTAATCCCAAACTCTTATCCATCCTTCAAATATTCAAGTATTGATGCAGAGTAGATAGAACAAAATCATATTCATGGAGCCACGACTGACCCAGAAGCACTTTGAACAAAGCATCGGCATCGATCACACAAAACATTTGGCCTCATATAAATTTTTTCAAATTTGAGAGGAAAAGTGAATAATCCCGCATTTGTGGTCCTTCCTTGTTAAAATCGTGCACCATCAAAATATCTCGCCAAAGGTTTTAGACATCAAGAGATCGCTACTTTAATGTTCGTGGGTCAATGAGTTTCAGTGAAGAACTAGGATAAATTAAGTTTCAACTTATCGTGACACCATCACTTTCTGGTGTAAAATACAAAAAGCAATTATACTTTGTTGTTCCAAGCATGAGAACATCTTCAAAGATTTAATGATTGACTCATTCTTACCTTATAGAACTTCAATCAGACAAAGTTAAGCAAAATCAAAACTTTAAGAAGTTAAATTAAAATTTTCCAAAGACTTTTGACATCAAAAGGACTTTTTAGACACTGAGCTATTCTGGAAACTTTTGCATATACAACAACAACAACATCAAGCCTTTATCCCACTACGTGGGGTCGGCTACATGAATCCTTTTTCTCCATTGTGTCCTATTAAAAGTCAAATTCTCGTTTAAATCTAATAAAGATTTGCATATGAGATAAAATATTATAATCCACTATTTTGCTTGAAGTAGACTTTATCTTGAAATTTTTGGGAATAATTTCCTCATTGATGACTATATATTTCCCTATAATTTTTTTTTATGATCCCTTTTTTGGGTGAAGAAGATAGCACCCTATCGCTCCACAATTGCATCTAGATAATTGCATTTGAATCAAATTTCTTTGATAAACTGGTTCCTTTATAATCATTATCCATCATTTTGAAAGCTCAGAATCACTACCCACTTCATGC